TAGCAAAATGTCGAGTTTATTATTGGATTGGAGAAGATTGGATTGGATTGGAGAGTATGGTGTATGAAAAGTGTGAGTAATTACAGGTAATTTCTGGTATAATAAAAATAGAATTTTTGGGTACAGTATTATACGTTTCCTTTCAGGTAGAGAGAAAAGCGATTTTTAATGATTCTTCTTTTCTTTCGCTTCCTTGGGATTGAAAGAAGAATTGTGTAATTTGATTCGTGAGCGTTTGGAATTTTACTTACCATCATTTTTGAAGACACTGGAAATATTATGTAATTTTTGGGAAAAAGGGATACAATAAAAATAGAATTTTTGCGTTTAATAATTTTTTTTTAAATATAAGGGAAAGTGATTTTTAATAATATTTTCTGTAGATGGAAAGAAGAATTGTATAATTTGATTCGTGAGTCTTTGGAATTTTAGTATACCATAATTTTTGAAGATACTGCAAATATTGTGTAATTTTGAAAATATCTGATACAATAAAAATAGAACTTTTGGGTTTAATAAGTTTCTCTTTTCCTTCAAATAAAGGGGAAAGTGATTTTTAATAATATTTCCTGCGGATGGAAAGAAGAATTGTGTAATTTAATTCGTAAATTTTTGAAACACTGAAAAAGCAATTTTAGTTTTATAAAATTGCAAAGAAACTATAAACTGTAACACATTTTGTAAAATATTTGATATGATAAAAGTATAATTTTCTATTTCTAACAATGCTAGTTCCAAGTGGAAAGAAAAATTACATGAAGAAATTAATTGCCAATATTATTCCAAATGAAAACCAGAGCTATGCAATTTCTTAAAGTATCTTCAAAATTTTGAAAACGTAATTTTGGTCTCCAATAATTTACAAGGTATCAGAGATACTACGTGATTTTTAAAAATACCTGATACAATAAAAATACAATTTTTTCTCCCAAATAATGTTCCTCTTAAATGAAAAATAATGTAATTTCTACTTCCTTCTACCTTCTAAATGAAAACAAAAACTATGCAATTTCTTCGCAAACCTTTCAAATAAAAATAAAAATTTACAAAGCCATTAAAAATATCTCTACCATAAATTAAACAGAAAAAAAAAAAAATAGTAAAATAGAACAAAAAATGGTAAAATATATCGTTAAATAAGAACAATACATACATTAACTATATCTCAAAACTATTATTTGCCACACACTATTTCCAACTATTACAACTCATCAAAATCAAATAACAACTATAATTACCATTCGTTTAAATTTAATTATTTAAATCCACCTTAACATTCTTTCTCAACGTAAATTTGAGTCAGAATTAATTGACAAGTTTTCGCGTAAATGTAACGGAAGCATTCGCAGTTAATGAAATATCCGATTTAGCGAAACTATATCGGGGAATGGCAGCTATTCTCGCGAGACACGGTGGATTGAAACGGAAATGGTGTTGCACTGCTTGCAGCCAGGAAGTTTTCTTCCTCATTATCATTGGCAAATTCCCAGCTTTCGCATTTCGTCCCGCAGAGCCTTTTACGTTCTGAATATTTAACGAGACAGCTTACATAAGCTCCGCGTCGTTTGTAGATTTTTCAAAATGGCCGTCTGGCCGACGCCATTTATTTTTCGCCACCGTGAAAAGCAGCTTTGGCTGAACGACCCGATAAATAATTCCACGAAGGGATATTTTTGTCATGCTGTTCCGTGGTGGAACAAGGAAGACCCGTTACGGTCTTCCCACAGCCAGGTCTTAGGGTTAAACAATTCGGCATAGGAATTTTCCGCTCCATGCCTTCAGCATGTTTGAATGCTTTTACCTTCTTCTTTGACTTCTCGTGTCGCGGAGCACGAGAATCCTGGAAATCCCTAATTTAACGAAATTAGGTGACGGCTCTTAAGACTTAGCTGACAATAGGCCCGAGGGCTCCACGTGGTCCGCACACGTTGAAAGCCTCAGGCCCTCGCTAGGGGTAATAAACGACCGATGGGGTCACCAGCGCGCGGGTGGACCCCACGTACCCCACCTTGGAGAAGAGGGTTTCCTCCACTATCGTTTACTTTTTAGGGGAACCTTCCCTTTCTCCAAGGTCACCGATTCCCGAACCAAGGGAACGCCCTTGGTCAAAAACAGCCAATTACATTTGGCGAGCTCCTGATTTTTCCTAAGGCCGATCTTAGGAAGATCGAGGAGCTCACTTCCTTTCAAGACTTCAAAGACTTCGGTTCTTTCCAAACACTTCCGTTCGAGATCTCAGAGACATCGGTTCTCTGCAAATCAACGAGACGCCACGTTTGCTTCGAAACGTCGAAGACACGATTCCTTTACGCTCGTGAAACTTAAACAGTTGCCCAAGATTAATTTGGCGGACAACATTTGCGAGGTCGTGAGACGGATTTACGACCCTTCGGAATTACGAGATTCGATCGCGACGCGACAAAACACACGCGGAAAATTCATCGACGTCATACGTTGGCTAAATTCGTGAAATTATGACCGTCATTAAATCAGACAGCAGAATTTTCTCGTTGAAAAAGAATTTCATTTGATATTTTTGTTTATTGTTGTTAGTGTAATAAGAAATAGTTTTCTTTTTCATTTTTGGTGGGGAATTTTAAAGAAATTGGAATTGAAAATATATATTTGTTGATTAATTTTAATTAAGCACAGTGGAATTATCTTTATAAAAATAATTTATTTCGTATTTGAAGAATATTTAATTATACTTTGTCATAACAAAAAAATATGTTTCTTATTATTATATGTTCAAATAGTAAATGATATAATTAATTAATTAATTTCGTAACAATCATAATACAGTAAAAAAGTTTGTAATTTTTATGTAATAAAATTTTAATTCCTACATTTATTTAATTTTGATAAAATTAATAATTTGATAAAATAATTTGAAATTATTAGAATAATTACAAAAAGTTTGATAGTAAAATAACTCTGTAATTACTTTATAGAAAAATCCTTATTGTAATATTTATTTAAATTTAGAATTATTATATAGCAAAATATTTTTGCAATTTCTATATGTAATTAATTATATCTACAATTGCTATATAATAAAATGTCTATAAATGTCATACATTTTTCTATCATTATATCCTCAATTGTTTTAACAATACAAACCCTACGAAATGCAATATTTTAGTCCAAATTATTAAATTATAAATAACCAATCGATATTCGAAACAATTTACAGTAACAACGATGAAAATATTATGATGTATTTACATATCTTCGCTCAGAGAACCTTCTCCCTATAATAAATAATATTTATTTGCAACTGTGTATAACTTCAAAGACACTTGTCATAACAGGAACATTTAAAACATGGTTAATAAAACTTACCCATGTCGTGCTAAATCATTCTCCCTGTATCTCGATAAGTAACGATATAAATCATAAATTGATATAAGAGACCATATTCATCGGAAGATCTTACCCACCACGTAGATCTTTTGTTTATGATCCTATAAAACCATCGACGTCTGATTTATGATCTTTCCATGTCCAACACGAGAGATTCATTTTCCTACCTGCGTATGGTTGTTGTCATAACGTGCACAAGCTTTCATTTTGCGGTAAATCTTCAGCAATACGTAATATTTGACTTCACGACAAACATTTCGAAAGAATTTTCTTCTCGAAGATACAAAATAATAATTATTTTTAAAAATTTGTGTGAGAAAAATAATCAACTTCTTAAGGACCGAATTATTTTACAAATATTAGTTAAATAGACTCGAATTTTTTGTGGAAATTTTGTATAAAACCAAAATCGTGTTAACACAAGCACAGTTATTAAAGGATTATGGAAGAATTAATCTTCACTGAAGGGGTATTTTGAAAAATACAACAACCGAGAAATATTAATTTTTAAATATTATAAATGGAAATAACTCTCACAAAATATTATTTGGTGGTGTTTAGTCTTTAACTTGAAATTTCTTTTTAATATTAGTGTTCATAATTAATATTATCGTCTCTATTGTACTATTATTAGTTGTAATAAATATTATTAATTTTAATTAATACTGCTATCTCCATAACAATATCATTTTCTGTAACAAATTATTACAGAATATTATTTACAACTGATACCCTATTAATTACTATTCCTATAGCAATATTATTTCAAACAATGAATATCCTTACAGAGATATCATTGTGTATAATTTATTTAAAATAAATTAGTATAATTACAAATAATAATAATATTATTTATAATCTAATATAATTTATAATTATACTACTACCTTCATAGCAATATTATTATTTATAATTAATATTTTCCTTCTGTGCTATGTTTGTAACACTATTAATATTTATAATAAATATTATTACTCCTATAACAATATCGTTATTTACAACAAATATTATTATCACCATATCAAAATACTATACTAAAGTATATATAATATAATCATCGTTATCATGTCTTTCTCATTTCTACCTACTTCCCACCTCAACAATACCCAATATTAATCACGATAAACCACGATTCCTCGCGATGAGCAATAGCAATAAAACTTCTCCATCGACAATAGAACTTCCGTTACATAAATTAACTAAAAAACAAAGTGCTGGTATAAAACAATTTTTCACATAATAGAAGATTCATGACATCGTATAATTCATTTGTCTTCATTTGCAAAATCCATTAATCCTACAAAGCAAAAACTAAAATTTATCCGAAATTCAAACGAAGAAACATCGGACGAGTGCTCGAACGCTAAAATTAAAAAAAAAAAATGAACAAATGTAGTTAAACCTTGAACTAAATTTTAATGACTCGCATAACAGAAGATTCACGACGAATCTTAATAATATTATTATAATTTAATATTATTTATTATTTATAATAATAATATTATTTACATTTATACTACTATTTTCATACCAATATTATTATTTATAATAAATATTTTCTTTCTGTGCTATTCCTGCAGCATTATTATTATTTGTTCTACTGTACTGAGAATAAAAATAATAAAAAATTCACTCACCCAGTTGGTCATCTTCTGTCGACGTTCCAAAAGTCTCTGCTGCAGCTTGGGTCCAGGTCCAGAAAGAAAGGCCTTCACCAGGCTCCTGGTCTTGGGCAAATGCTGCGGTGCAATTGCCTCGACCTGGGCCAAGTATTTCTGCAAGGTCGGCTCCAGGTCCGGAACCGGAAGACTCGGTAGAGTGGCTTCCTTCTACGGGGCGAAACCAGGGAAATTGATGATTATTGGGACAAGAATCGCCGATGGGGATCGATCATTATTCTAATTCATGGGAAACGGGAAACAGAGCGGAAGGGTCGGCGGATTTATCCGCTTAAAATGGCTCATGGTTGATTTACAACGTTGTTTAAAGGTTAATCGCTGGAGGAGCTGACATTTATGTACCAATAAGGGTCGATAAATCAAGGATGCTGAACGCGTTGTCGCTAACGTTCAATTATTTAAATAAAACAAACGCTTAAAGGTCAGACATACCGTTGCATCGGGGTCATTTTGTATTATTCATCGTTGCATGCACCAACTAACAAATCATAACTCACGAACAATTTCTGAAGACCTAGAACTCTGAACTGGGTGTTTAGAATTCTGTACACGAGAACAAGAATGCATGTGTAGGGTGAAAGAATGAGATATGGAAATTCCTGGGAAAAAGTTGTATTTTTATTTGTAAAAAATTTTTATTTGTATTTGCATATTTCTCTTAGTAAAATGTAGATGGGGAATTTATAGAAATTGGTTTGAAGAATTTTATATCATTTTCTATTATTACATTACTATTATACATACTATTGTAGTATCGCAGAATGCCCACCTCGTGTGTAGGTGACTTTGGTTTGGAAAGTCGCCGAGGGTTCGAGGGCCAGGTCATTCGGAAAAACCCCGGCGATGCGTCAGGCCCTTAGCATGACCATATTTGGTCGTGTTGGGGGAGGCTTTTTAGGGAATATATAAGGAAGGCAGAAATGGTTAGGGGGCCTTCTTTTTGAGAGACAGTGCTTGAGAGATAGTCAAGCTGGGTCAGTGAGTTGTAATTGTGTTGTTAGTTGTAATCGTGTTGTTAGTTGTAATTGTGTTGTTAGTTATAATCGTGTCGTTAGTTGTAGTCGTAAGAGTTTAGTTGATATATATCTATATTCGTAGTCTTTACCGTCACCGCACATTGTATTATTATTTTATGTTTAATAAATGGTTTTATATTATTTAACACCCACTCAATCTCTACACTATTATTATATATATTTTATATTTTGCGAATGTTTCAATACAGTTAATTGTAATGACTTTTGCAATATTGTTCCTTATTGTTTAGTTATTTAATAATTTAATAATTAATCATTTTTAACTGGAAAGCAGGTTTCAAAAATGCAGTAATTGTACAATATTATTATTTTACTTCGTTATTATACTTGTACTTCATCCAATCCACTATTAAATATCTATGTTAATATATTCAAAATTATAAGAGTATCAAGAATGGTTTCAAGACAATTTTGACCAAGTTTATTGAAGGTAGATAAATTAGACTGAATAGTAGACAAAGATTTTCTATTATTATTCCAATAAATTTTTAATTCTTTAAAGACAATCTATAAACAATATATTTCTTCTTATGTTATCTTTAGTGACAAATTGGTCCACCCTATTACTCTATTACTCTATTTATTATTACTCTCAGAATACTACTCTTTGGATTACTTTGACAAAAAGTAGGCTACGAAATTGTATATTATAATAAAATCCGAAGAACCGAATGTGTAAGAACCTGATAGAGCATGAAACTCTTCCAAAGATGAGCAAACAAGAACAGAATCCAATTGGATCAGTCCAATTACGTTATTAGAAATACTGTTCGATCCAAGTACCGGTCTATATAAATAACTATGTACTATAATAGGAAACATAGAACACTTCCGAGAGTCCGGTAGAACATGAAGTCCTATTAAAGACGCAGAAAGTTTGCTAAAAGAAGAGCAAAACTTTCGAACTCCTACTGTTATTAGGACTACTGCTCGATTCTAACAACGTTGCTAAATATATGAGAAATTATGATAAAAGATATTCCATCTGATTGTACTCTACAATGTAACGTGCAGAATACACATGAAAAGCTGATAGAACATGAAACCATATTAAATATCCTCAGAAGAAAACAAAAAAGCTTCGACCACCACAATTTAATAGTGATTCCTTCACTATAACGCACAATCCTTGATATCTGTAAATAGAATAAATTATAAATGATTATAAATACAATAAGTCGAAAATGGAATACGAAGAATGTGGTATAGTGTGAAATTATATTTAAGATCCTGGAAGGACAACAAAAGCTTCGATTCCTAATTCCCCACTGTTACGAACCCTATTCACACCAAATACGTTTCTACGATCAAGAGGTACCCTAATATAACTACATTTTATAATAGAATACGAAAGATATTAAAGGGAATCCAATAAAACCCTCGAAAAAGAACAGAACCTTTGACCCCTACTTGCTCACTGTCAACAATATTGCTCAAATCAGTGTTCCTATGATAGGAAAAAACATCCTGTATAACTGTATAATATATAATAAAATATGAAAAATATTTCCAAGATTTCGATAGGACATGAAATCATTCTAAAGTTCTTCTATTTAATGTTTTCAATCCAAAAGATGTCACTCGAATGAAGTTACACGTATAACCAACCCCTAAAATAGAACAGGGAAGACATTTCTGAGACCTAGATGGCAAGCAAGAAAATCCTCAAAAAAGAACAGAATCATCAACCCTTAATTTCTGACTGCTAACCCTTTCGCGACGGGTGCTGTATATATACGGCAGTCATTTATTGGTTTAGAGCGGTTGATGCCGTCTACATACGGCAAATCATAATTATATTAATGTATTATTAATACATATATAGGATACCAAAAGAAATCGCGAGTCGGCTATTGCTAACAAAAACAAATTGTAAACCGATCGATATTTTTTAGAAGCAAATCGAAAAGTTATTCTATATAACAAAATTAAGCTGCTTGGCTTCCCTATGGGGAGGTGAAGCGAAGGTTAAGGAAAGCATAAAAGCGTGGTCCTTGACAACCAAAACAGAGTTCTTAGAAATCGGTTGTAACCAGCAGAAGCGCGAGTCGCTTGGTGCTGGAGAGTTTTAAAAGAGTGTGTTTTTGTGTGTTTTCGTTTCGTTATCTTGGTGTTCTTTTCCTAAGTTAAATCAGTTTACGAGTTTTGAGTTTGTGTTATTGTGTTCTTGTTATTTCGACAATTTTCGGTGTCTCAAGATCAGTATTCGCCATCCTACATATATATTAATAATTATTAATGTAATAATACTGCTTGAATCAACGTTTTTATGACATGACAAAATGTCTTGTCTAATTGTCTCCTAAAATAAAATATATAAACATTCCCTAGACCTCGATAGGTCACGAAATCCTACCACAGTCCAGCAAACGAGAACAGGTCCGTCTATTTCCAACTATTGACTATCACCATCAACCTAAGCAGCACTGCTTCGATGCAAAGTATCCTGCATAACCGATTCCTAACATAAAATGTGGAAAGCATTCCTGAGACTTGGATAGAAAGCGAAATACTGCTAAAGATCAGCAAACGAGAAGAGAGACTGTAGGGTCGATCGATCGGTCGCCTCGGGGTTCAACAAGTTCAGGGGTGCATCGTGTGCCGAGAACCTTCTGACGCGGCATTCGTTGGCCTTTACGATGTCACGGCGATTGTAAAATAAAGAATCAATTGAGAAACGAAGCGTGTCTATGGGAGTAAGCGCCCTTAAGGCCAGCACGGTTCGTTGATCAGAATCCCCCTTTGCCGGGCTAACAAGACCTAGCCTGCGAACCCGAACGCAACTCCACCCCTTCCTCCTTCGTTGAGAAATGTTTCCGACAAGTGGATCAAGGAGGAGAGCAGGTTAGACCAGAGCCTCGTAATGGTCTCTCTTCTCTTTTCGCCACGTTTGTTCGTGTATTTAGTTTCATTAACCGGCCTGCCTCGACCTATGCTCGAGTACCATGGACGACGTTGTGAAATCAACACGCGTCGCTTGACTCGTGGCCAGCAATGAGGAAGCGGCGTGCTAGTGATTTATGTGACAACCAGCGTGTAGAGTGACACGCTTTCTACGCGTGCTTCCCGTTTGTGTACCGGTTACGATCGTGGAACACGGAATGACGTAGTGGCTTCTGAAGGATTGGTCGAGCCTGGTCTAATTTTCGGTAGTCCAAGTATACTGCGGGTTTAAATGGAGAGAGGTATAAGAATGGAATTGGAGAAGTTGTATTAGTTAACGATGATTAGTCAAGGATATACGAGGGATGCTGATGTTTGTGGACAAATCATGAGAAATTAATGTAGAGGCTGAATGAAGAAGATGATGAAATATACAGTTAGAGAGGTGGAAATTAGTATTGTATACTTGGAATAGGTAGCAAATATCCTTTTAGGTTTGTGTCATAGTACAGAGTTTGTTGGGTGAAGCCTGGGAGACTGTATATATAATAAATATTAGAAATTTTATACATCCTTGTACAATCTAATATCAGTTTTATAATAACATTTATTATCTATCATACATATGTATGTATACATATATATGTATGGAACGCTCTATCTATATTGAATATTAAATACTATATATATATATATATATCCAATAATAATATTAGATATATAATTAATAAAATAATAACAAAATGTGAAATTTTATTCCTATATATCCCTATACAACTTATCCTTATACAAGTCATTTTTGTAGTAACATTTATTACCTATCATACATATGTATGCATATTTATATATGTGTGGTGCACTCTATATATAATAATATTAAATACTATACATGTATCCAATTATATATCCACTAATAATATTTAATGTTCATTATATACAGAGTATCCCACACATATATATAAATATACATACATATGAATGATAGATGGTAAATGTTACTATAAAAATGATATGAACTTGTATAAAGATGTGCGAATATATTGTGTTACTTTTTAATATAGCAATAGTAGTAGTGTCATAAATAATTATTTCTTTATATTTTCATCAATTTTGTTTTGCATTAATTTAATATTTTCATTCGTGATTATAACGTGATTTTTATTAATTATAATGTTGAAGTGTACCATCGTTATTTCAATCTCGTAATTGAATTTTGTAATTATGTTATAT